GGTATGGTGGGCTCATATGGCAAAACTGGGTTTAAAGATTTTGGATGCACAAGTAGTATTTCTACTTAGTACAAGTGGAGGCTAGCAAAAAGATTGAGAAGCAACCAACCAAGAAACGAAAAATCACATAAGCAAGCATTAAGTATAACTAACACCAAATAATGCACCTTAAGTAGGATGTAATTTCATTGCATAACTATTGACTTTCGTGCTTGCATAGGGAATCACAAACCTTAACACCAATATTCTTACTAAAGCATAATTACTCACCAACATGACTCACATATCACTATCATCATATCTCAAAACTATTACAAAGAATCAAGTTTATTTTGTCCAATGATCTTCATGAATTTTTTTATTATATCCCTCTTGAATATCTATCATTTTGGGACTAATTTCACATATTGCAATTGCTTTTGAATAGCTCAAACAAATTTAAGTGAAGAACATGAGCATATAATTTTCGTCTCTCAAAATAATATAAGTGAAGCATGAGAGAATTTCTTCAAAAATTTACTAACTCTCAAAAAAATCTAAGTGAAGCATGAGATCATTTTTTCAAAAATATTAAAGCACACCGCGGTAAAAAATATATAAGTGAAGCACTAGAGCAATTTTCATAGCTCAAATTTTTTTAAGCGAAGCATAATGAGCAATTCTAACAAATCATAGCATAATTTTGGTTCTCTCAAATAGGTGTGTCCAGCAAGAATACTTGTGACAAACTAAAAAGAAAAATAAGCAAAGACTCATATAATACAAGACGCTCCAAGCAAAACTCATGATATGTGACGAATAAAAATATAGCTCCAAGTAAAATACCGATGCTCGTAGAAGAACGAGGGGATGCCCCGGGATGCCTTTTGGGCATCCCAAGCTTAGTTGTTTGGTTCTCCTTGAATATTATCTTGGGGTGCCATGGGGCATCCCCAAGCTTAGGCTCTTTTCACTCCTTATTCCTTCATCCATCGTGATCTCACCCAAAACTTGAAAAACTTCAATCACACAAAACTTAACAAAACCTTCATGAGATCCATTAGTATAAGAAAGCAAATCCCACTCTAAGTACTGTTGCAAACCCATTCATATTTTATTATTGTATTATACCTACTGTATTCCAACTTTACCATGGCTTATACCCTGGATACAATCCATAGATTCATCAAAATAAGCACACAATTCAACGAAAACAAAATCAGTCAAAAACAGAATAGTCTGTAGTAATCTGGACTTTGTCCATACTTCTGTAACTCCAAAAATTCTAAAAAATTAGGACGACGTTGGAAATTTGTATATCAATCTTTTGTAAAAAAATCAGAATTTTTCGTCAGTTCTATGATTTGACAAAACTCTGCTACTGGATGCAAAAGTTTTTGTCTTTTCAACAAGATCAAATCAACTATCACCCAACATGATCCCAAAGGCTTTACTTGGCACAAAAACTAATTAAAACATTAAAAAAATCATAATTGTGCAAACACTCAAGAACAGAAAGAAAAAGGCAAAACTAAATTTTATTCATTGGGTTGTCTCCCAACAAGTGATATCATTTTATGCCCCTAGCTAGGCATAATGCATAGATTCAAGTATTGTCATCTTTAGTTTTTGATCCATAGGATGCCCTCATTATTGATTCATATGGTGGCTTAATTCTTGTTCTAGGGAAGTGTTCCATACCCTTTCTTAGTGGAAATTGAAATTTAATATTGTCTTCTTTCATATCAATCACGGCACCTATAGTACGTAAAAACGGTCTACCAAGTATAATTGGACAAGACGGATTGCAATCAATATCAAGAACAATAAAATCTATGGGAACATAGAGAATGAGAACATCATTAATTCTTCCTAAAGGCTTTTTAATAGTGGAATCCGCCAAGTGCAAATTAAGAGAACATTCTTCAATATCAGTAAGACCAAGCACATCACATAAAGATTTCAGATTTGTGGAAACACTAGCACCCAAATCACATAAAGCAAAGCACTCATAATTTTTAATCTTGACTTTGATGGTAGGTTCCCATTCATCATGTAATTTTCTAGGAATTGAAATCTCTAATTCCAACTTTCCTTCTAAAGCTTTCATCATGGCATCTACGACATGTTTAGTAAAAGCTTTATTTCGTTCATAAGCATGGAGTCAATTTATCATGGATTGCAACAAATAAATACATTCAATCAAAGAGAAATTATCATAATTAAAGTTTTTGTAATTCAAAAGAGTGGGCACATCACTAGTTAAAGTTTTAACCTCTCCAAACTCACTTTTATCAAATTTTTCATCAAGATTTTCACCCTCCAAATTATCGGGACACCCTCTAGCTAAAGTTGACTCTTTTCAGTCCCTTTATCATCAATTTTAATTTTACTAAACAAGGAATCAATAGAAGAAACACCAATCATTTTAAGATCTCCATCATTTTTATGAAAGTAATCACTAGAAAATGCCCTTTCTAAAAATTCTCTTTTAGATCTAAGCATCGCGGTTCTTTTCTTACTTTCACCCATAGAGACATATAAAGCCTTAATTGACTCACTAATATCAACCTTGGGTGGAAAAATTTTAATCTTGAGATTTTCTACATCATGAGAAATTCTATCAATACTCCTAGAGATATCATCAATCTTATTCAACTTTTCGTCTATCGTAGTATTGAAAGCTTTTTGAGAATTGATAAATCCTTTAATATTATTCTCAAGATTAGAGGGGTTCCTATTATTATTGTAAGAAGAATTACCATAGGAATTACCATAATTATTAGAGGAATTTCCAGGAAAAAGCCTAGGATTAAAATTACCTCTATAAGCATTGTTATTAAAATTGTTTCGCGAGATAAAATTCACATCTACGGGGTCACTGTTTTGCTCAATCAAAGTAGGCAAAGGCATATCATTAAGATCAATAGGAGCACTTTTATTAGCAACCAATTTTATAAGAGCATCAACTTTTTCACTCAACGTACTAATTTCTTCAACCGAATTAACTTTTTTACTAGTAGGTGTTCTTTCAGTATGCTATTGTGAATAATTTGACATAATATTATCTAGCAATTTAGTAGATTCACCCAAAGTAATGTCCATAAAAGTACCACCCACGGCGGAATCTAAAAGATTTCTAGAAACAAAATTCAATACCGCATAATTTTTTTTTGTATAATCATCCAAAGATTTAAACCATGAGTAGGACAATTTCTTAGCATCAACTTCATTCTTTCCAAAGATTGTGCAACATGTTCATGCTCAAGTTGCTTAAAATCCATGATTTGAGTTCTAAGGGAAATAATTTTCGCGGGTGGAAAATACTTATTAATAAAAGCATCTTATCCCAAGAATCGATACTATTGCGAGGCAAAGAAGAAAACCAATTTTTTTGCACGATCCCTCAAAGAGAAAGGAAATAATTTCAACTTCACGGTATCATTCTCCACGTCTTTTTTATTTTGCATATCACACAATTCTACGAGTGTGTTTAGATGGGATGCGGCATCCTCATTAGGAGTACCGGAAAATTGATCTTTCATAACAAGATTCAACAAAGCGGCATTAATATCACAACATTACGCACTAGTGGCAGGAGGAGCAATCGGCGTGCTGATAAAATTATTATTATTGGTATTGGAAAGTCACACAACTTGGTATTTTCTTGAGGCATCATGACTATGCAAACAAAATTGCAAAAAAAATTGACGAGAAAAAAGCGAACGAAAAAGAAGGCGAATAGAACGGCAAATTTTGTGAAGAGGGGGAGATGAAAACGAGAGGCAAATGTAAAATAATGTAAATTGCAAGGAGATGAGATTTGTGATTAGGAACCTGATAGATGTTGATGATGTCTCCCCGGCAATGGTGCCAGAAATTCTTTTTGATGTCGCTTGAAACTGCGTCGGTATTTTTCCAAACAAAAAGGGATGATGAAGTGCAGCTACGGTAGGTATTTCCCTCAGTTATGAAAAAAAGGTATCAATCCAGTTGAAGAACCAAGCAACACTATGCAAACAGTACCTGCACACAAAACACAAATACTTGCAACCCGGCACGTAATAGGGGTTGCCAATTCCTCCACGGTAAAAAGATAGATAATTTGTGGTAGATTGGATAAATAGCTATAAAGAGTTGCATCAAGTAGATCTTCAAGAGACGATTGTATTGAGAATCAAAAGAGAGAGAGAGGAAGATACTCCCTCCGTTTTTTTTAGTCTGCATATAAGATTTGGTCAAAGTCAAACTTTGTTAACTTTGACTAAGTTTATAGAAAAAAATATCAAGATTCACGATATGAAATCAATATTGTTAAATGCATCATGAAATCAATTTTCATATCGTATAGCTTTAGTATTGTAGATGTTAATATTTTTTTTCTATAAAGTTGGTCAAACTTTACAAAGTTTGACTTTGATCAAATTTTATATGCAGACTAAAAAGAAACGGAGGAAGTATCTAGCTAATGTCTACGGACCCTTACTTGCCTTTTATGAATCGATGCTACAAGCTATTTTTTAGAAGATCTCACTATTCATTCTGTACGAATCCAGTAACAAAGGAGAGGTTTTTCCTTTCACAGTGAAATATCTGCTGTCCAGAACTAACAAAAATCCTAGTGTCACACATCAGCGGAAATTAAACTTTCTCCTGGAATATGTTGAAAATGAACTTCAAAAAGTATCAAAGGTGGCGCAAACCCAGTGTGATAGTTCCCAACCCAGTGTGATAATTCCACATTTGGAGTGTGCATAAATAGTTCCCAACCCAGTGTGATCCCTGTTACCTTTCCAGTTTCACTCTTGTAGTGTAATAGTAATGTTGCCACTAGTCCCCCAATGCCTGACCACCACACTGGGCATAAACAAGATAGTTTGTGACTGGTCACACGTAAAAAAGAATTATATAACCAGAAAATTTCACCAAACTAATATTTTGCTTCTTCTTTTTCCCTGAGTAATCAGTCAACACTACATGCTATATCAAAATTTCAATGGTATACAATATAGTCCTGCAACCTAATCATCCACAGAAAACAACATTCTTTGAGCATGTATGAGTACAGGTGAGCCTTGCTTAGTTCTCTCTACAATCTGTTGGATGAGCATTTCACTATCGTGGTCATCCTCGTCGCCCGACTCGTCTCCATCGCTCTCTTGAGCTCTGTTAGGGTCCCCGCTCTTCACAGCCTGCTCCCAAGTGCTGTCCTCTTTCAGCTCCGTAGCGCTCTCATCTTCCAAGCCCCAGATCAAGCTGCGGTCCACTGAGTAATCTTCATTTACCTGAGGCCTCCCGTTTGTACTTGTGGTGCAAGGGGAGTCAGCAATTCTCATGAATTCTTCATAGGCTTCATCGTAGGCTTCTAGTGCGTCTCCAGATAGATTTAGACAGAAAGGTTCGGCGGAGGAGCTAGTTTCTTGTATAAACAATGGACTATCCTGGTTGGAAGAAGAACCTGAATCACTGTTTAAGCACGTCTGTTCGGAGAAGACTCGCTCTCTTGCCATCATGTGCAGTTGCGCCTGCTTCTGGCTCTGAGCTAGTGCTGTCTCAAGCTCCTTGATTCGCTCTTCCAGCCTATGCTGGATCACCTTGTGGAGACGGAGATTGAGATCTCTAGGTGAGACAGGATAGTTTGTCTCATGTGTGTAATCTGGGGAGCTTTGTCTGCTGTCCCTGCCATGGTCACTATCACTGCTGTAATCAGCAATGTCACAACGAATCATGTCGCTCTTCAGTTCCCCCTGAACAATATCTCCAATGAACTCCTGATCGATCTAGAAATGTGGAATTCTATTTAGTGTGCTTGTAGGCTGTAGCCTAATTAAGATGTCATGTATAACATTTTGATACGAGATTGTTACCTCAATCAAGTCAAACGGTTCTTCTTCCAAGTGGTTTGAAGTGATATTTAACTCCAGCCTCGCAAGCTCGGCTTCAAGTTCTGCTTCAATTTTGCTCATTGATATTGAATCAGGGGTGTGAGCTTTGATATTGCCATCTGTTATCAGGAGTGGAAAATAAAAAGGATCACAAACTTTTTAGTACAAGTATGTAAAGATGATTTTGTTCGACAGTTGTTGATTTACCATCTAGTTCACCAGATGTTTCATTAGGCAATTCCTTCACAGTTAACCCCTCTTTCATCTCCAGCTCATCTTGCAAATCCTGAACCAAGTTCTCCATTCGCTTCAGTGTGCCGTTCAACGAATCAAGATCTTTTTTGCTTGATAGAGAGGAAGATAAAATACCAATGCCAACCCCACTGGAGAACATGAGCATTCGTTCAAGTAAACCTGCAGATCAAATGTATGTATTTAGGATTTGAATGCTTCAAGTGGGGGGAAACCCCAAAACAACAACTCAGTATGAAGCATAACATTTGTAGCAAAACATCAGCATCCAAAATAGCCTACTTAATAGGTATTATAACATTTTTTTACAACCATTAGCAAGAGATAAGAGAAAGAAGCAACCAGGAAACATGAATGTTGTTCAAGCACAATTTGTCCTGAAATGATAAATCAGTCTAGCCCTGTTGAAATAGTACGGATAGATCTTACAAAAATTCTTCATCGTTTAACAGCTCTAATGACCCAAGCAAGCAAAAAGCAGTCGCGCAGATTGAGCAAATTCTGGGAGATTAGGATAGTCACTCGATATTTCAGGAATGGCAATTGTTTTTTTAACAATACTAAGACTGACTTAAGAAAAATATGTGATAGTTCAACTAGTGTCATCAGGGCAAGGAACAGAGGTTCCACACATGACGGCGAAATTTCTACTAGTATTAACTGCAAAACGTAATCACACTCTTCATTTGAAAAAAGTTTCACTTGAAAATTACAAATGATGAATTCAGGAGGCATGTCTACTAATACACTATTCATGACTTGCTTTGTTTCAGCGGATTGCATCAAGTGATAGAAAAAAACATGTTGAAACTGCTTCAATTATATTGCAGGAATTGTGGTGTGACGCCAAATTACCTGCTGGTTTTGATGGTTTACTATATCTTTCTGTTTGGGATCCCCTTTTGGATTTATTCAGCTCAGGTAGCGGAGCAATCCCAACAACACTTTCTGGCACTTTTGAGCCATTTCGAGATTCTTCCTTGTCGAACCCAATACCAAAGGGTACAGGCACTGGTTCATAGCGTGATTTACTAATGATTCTTCTCCCATCTGTTACAATGAATGGCCTAGCAGAAGCTGGGGATGGAACTGGAGCAAATGTGCATTCTTCAAACTCGAATTTCTCATTGTAAAGTTGTGGAATGTATGAGTTCTCTGTTGCGACGAGTGGATTAATAAAATGCCTCTGGGCTCGTCTGCTCCTAAGAGCACCTCGACCTCTTCCAGGCCCAGAACCAAGACCAGGGCTTCTTGTGGAAACCTCAGTAGTCGAACCATCTCGAAAGCCATCCACCAGATTCTTGCCTCTACCAACTGACCTGCTACCACTTGGAACCACCATTTCCTCATTGTTCTTCGTGCTGCTCCTCTTGAAAATCCAAGGCTGCAAGCTCAATATGGATCCAGGATCTCTGACATACTCGCCTGGGCTGACCAACTCAGCACCGGTACTTCCACTGGTGGAAGCAGCAAATTTGGCAGATGAGCCACCAAACCGCGAATGAACGGAGTTTCTCGGGGTATTGCAAGGCACGTTCTCCTCCTCCAAACCGATGTCCCTGCCAACCTGATTAAGAATTATTCTGCGGAACACATCATTCCCCATTTCTGCATTCTTGTGATTCTTTTGCTTATCCATTGGAAGTCCTGCCTGCAACCTGGCTCTAGTTCCTCAGCACAAGGCAAAAGCACAGGCGCCTCCTCATCTCCAGAGCTCAATAGGATCTCCAACCTGCGCAATCATACATGAATGATGGGCAACGAAATTAGCGCAAGAACATGAGCACAAGGCTGATGCAATATCTATTCGAAACAAACGACGAGTGGAGCGACGCAATCCCCAATTCGTCCGCCGCAATTTTAAACAAAGGCAGAATCCCTCCATAAACAAACGCCCACCCACCGAATCAAATCCCAGGTCACGCGCACAAGACCAGGACCCAACCAAATCTTGGCTGAAAATTCTCCTGTCCCGCAAATACACCACAGGATTACCTGGGATTCGCCACGCGACCCGGCCTCCCCTCCTTCCTCTAAAGAAAACCCAGAAACAGCGGGGCAAAAGATCTCCGGAAGAGACGGCCAAGAATCGGCGAGGGCGGGAGCCTTTTCTCACCAAGAAAGGGGGAGGGAGGATAAGGCGCCGGCAGCGGAGTGGCAATGCGGAGGCGAGGCGGCTGGTCAGGCGCGAGCTAGCGGGAGGGAGGAGAGAGAGCACCACACCACTGGACAGGAGGCATTTGGGATTTGGGATGGGGGAATTTGGGGTTTGGGTTGGGGCTGGGGTTGGTCCGAAAGAGGCAAGAAGAACATCCCGAGGAGCCAAACAACACGAGAGACGAGACAGGAGGAATAAATTACTCTATTCTGTATGGCGATTTGGTTTTAAAAATGGAAATCTATTCATCTATTTCCTCGAATTCCACTGGTTTTTTACTTTTCCAGCTCAGCTCACAGCTCATGACAGAGGGCCAAGGATTCAATTGCCATGATGAATATAATAATTTCTCTATTAAATTCCGATGGAGATGATTTCGCCATATTAAAGTAGTATATTAATAACCCAGTAAAAAAGAAATCTGAGCGAACGCCCTCAGCCACGTCGGATCCCACTCACGGAACCTAAAGCATTCGCTCTCACATACCCTTTTGAGCAAACTATAAAGTTGGCGACAAATGATTCGCTTATGATGATAATTTGAGCGAACACATTTGGGATGGCAATTTCAATTTTTAGAGCACGGCATTTTTCAGCTTTTTCGGTTGATGTACCACGGTAATTCCCTTCAGTCAGCATAACGATTTTTTAGTATAGCAATTTCCACTTTAGAACATGGCCAATCCTTTACAGCAACACAACAATATTATCTATTTTTTGCATGGTACTCCCTCCGTAAACTAATATAAGAGCGTTTAGAATACTAAAGTAGTGATCTAAACGCTCTTATATTAGTTTACAGAGGGAGTAATTCTGAAGCGTTCACTGGGAGTGGGTTTTTTGAGCGAACAGAAACGTTCATTCATTCCTCCTTGCATAGGGGAGCGATCATTCACTCGGGTTACTCCTTATCAGATGTATATTGGCGTCCTTAATAAAAGGATTTACTACTCCGTCCATTGGTTCTTGTTCTTGAATTTGTAGCTCCATGTCAAACTGTGAATTTGTAGCACCATTGATCATCGCTAGGGTTCACGTGTCGACGGAGTTGATCCAGTATCGAATTCTTGGTGGCTTATATTTGCTTTTATTCTAATTAATAAATGCATATGTTTACTTTATATATATATATATATATATATATATATATATATATATACATATCTTAACTTATATGACTCCGGTACAAAATCAAGCTATTTACGGGCAACAATATATCAATTTTTATTTATGTCGACTTTAAAAAGGTTTCAACCAGAAGCGTTGAAATCTTCTTTGATGTTTATGGTGTCAACGTTAAAGGGTCAGAACCTTCTAAATTAATGTTGATAACTACTCCCTCCGTCCGAAAATACTTGTCATCAAAATGAATAAAAGGGAATGTATCTAGATGTATTTTAGTTCTAAATACATCCTTTTTTGTCATTTTGATGACAAGTATTTTCGGATGGAGGGAGTACTTGATAATTTATTACACGTGAGAATTGAACTTTCTAGTGATGGACGTAGAGATTTGTTCTACACTAATGTCCTGTAGGAATATTAACATACCATGTTGTTATGCTTGCTCCATTTCGCGTTGTTTGTTGTTTAGTGTGACTGTCATCTCGCAATATTTGTACCTCGAAAAATAAGAGTAAAATGTTACGAAATTACACTTTTTTATACTATTTAGCAAGGTTTGGCATTGTGAAATTTTATGTAGGTATAAGAAGTGTAATCCTATGAAATGTTATTCTAGATTTTTTTTTAGTTCATGCTACTCTAGATGCTGAATGACCTTCAAATAACTTTTCAATTAGGGTAGAATATTATTCAGCTCTATTAACTTTACCTGAATTTTTCCATATGAGTACATGAAAAGATCAAGGTCCATTTCATCCTAGAGTTGATCTACACCACAAAGAAAATACAGAGAGGTTCTGTCCATTTCTTGGTGTATCCCTTTCCCTTAATAATGGTTTTGTGTTTGTTTTTACTTTTCATAAGAAAAACAAAGTTTTTTCTTTCTTCTGACACATCCCTTTGGAAACTCTTGTCCCTACAGTGTCCAAGAATTGGACTTGCTATCTGGGGTACATGCGAAAGGATGCTTGGCCTTTACACCATTCCGAGAAAAGAAGATAGTCTCCAAGTCTTCCTGAATCTCAGCCGTCAAACTGTTTTGATCTGTGATCTAAACTCCTTGATCCCATCACAGAAACAGGCCCACATTTGGTGAAGCTCGATTAGGGTTTGGGCATCTGCACCTGCACCTTGATGGCTATTAATAATTATGATCCTATATCATGGCATGGAAGTACCCAGCTTTATTATTCAGGGACCAAATTTTATTACTCCTTAGGACCACCTGGTCACACATACCCAGTAAGTTTTCAATACTCCGGTGAACACCTGTGCTAGCAAATTGACAGGATGTGTGGACAGCATGGTGCCAGATTTTTCAACAATTCAGTGAGCATCTGTATCAGGGCCATGCTGTCGATTTTAACGATAAAGTTTTACAGACCTTGAGGAAGAAGAATTTTGTAAACTGCGTTTGCGAAAACGAAGAAGATAACCCAGATATAGCAGAGGATTCAAGAATGAACTACGGCGGAGGTCTCATGGGAAAAGAGAGGCATATCAGATGTTGATTGACGATGGATCCATGGCATTTTGCTGCTAGGAAGAGAATCCTTTGAAAATGCCAGCTGAAATGCCCTTTTTCTGCTAGGTTTTGGCATTGCTTGGCCTTTTTGTTTCTAGCTGGACTTCTCCTTGTCCTCACACAACAAGATTGGGTTCTCTCTGGTCCACACAGGATGTACTGTTTGCGCCAGACAGCTGTAAAAATAGACAGCAATTGCAGGTTTCTGAAGGAATTGCATGCATACATTGCATTTGATTCTTTTCATACAGAAACATCTCAGTGTACTTTTGACCTGGCAGAAATTCATGACTGGTGTCCTCCTTCGGATTTTCTCAGAACAGTGGGAGCCTTGCAATCGTATTATACAACATGCTACACCTATCCAGCAGCAAGCAAGAACAAGATGAATTCCGAATTTCTGTTTCCAAAAGAATGCCTTCAGAATTTAGTATAACCCTTGTGCTATTTTTGTTGAAACAAAACCATTTATTGAAGCGACTACAAAATTATGTACAGTAACTA